TTGTTATTATAGATGCAGAATTGAAGTGTAAGTCATTGTCAGTGTGAGTACTTTAGACCTTTGTAGGGCTAATCCAAATGTGTGCAGGATCATAGCATAACAGAAACAAAAAACATTCACCCCTCAGGTGAAATCCCAGGGCAAACCCCCCATCACCTTCACACAGTCTGGAATATTACCTGAAATAACAGAACTGAAAAAATTGTTATGATTCACATAATTAAACACCTGACATTATATACAACACCACTCCACTGAGCTGTTCAGCTGCCTTGTTAAACCAGAGCAGATCTTTTACAAGAATGGTCAAGTCTTGATTTAAAGATTACACACGACAGGAAAATCTATTAGATGTCAGAAATGTGCTGAAGACCTGTTGTTCTAATGAAAAAATGTATCTTATTTCTAACAGAGTTTTATCTTGTTGGATTTCCTGGCACTGGAATATAGTTTACCTTTGTGTGCAGAGTTAAATAAGCTGACTGCATAACACTATCACAGGGTTTTTTTCTAGACCAGTCCCCATTTTTCAGCACCTTGTTTTAGAAGGATCAACAAGAGGGTTCTGATACCACTGTGTACAACAACGACCTTTCAAAATTACCATGCCTGACAGCCCCGAGAGAGAGTTTCCTGACCTGGTCACCATCCAGCTGTGAGAATGTGCTCCACTTGCTCTCCACTAAATCCTTTCCTTATTTACTCTCTTCAAAATTCAATGAACTGTATTAATTTGGGACGAGCTGTTGGTTAACTAACCTCCTGATACTAACCACATGTTGGTTAAGTAAGGTCCTTTTAATGAGCACTTTAAATTACCATTAAATGATCCCACATTTAAACTGCTTTCATAATTTTTACAGCAACTATGAACTTTCTTTTTTTCTAGAGATTGATTAGCACTGGATGAAGAAATGCCTTAGGTAGCACTTGCTTAGTGATGCTCCAGGTTACAAAAAGAGACAACCAGGCCGGGTCAGACCTATGCAACAGCCTTAGGGCTACATTACTAATAATTATTAATAATGTTTATCCATTTGCAAATACTTTTAAAAAACCCTGTGACTTAGCTACTTGCAAGTCTATGTACTGTACCCTTCACAACTTTTGTAAGTTCTAGTGACTTGTTTTTCTTTCAATGTTATGCAGAATTAAGCTGCATCAACGGTCAAACAAGCCAAAGCAATACTGTCAATATTTTCTCTCAAATTATACCAATTGCTGTTATTTAAAAGATTACAGTAGTTTTCTCATATCTTCATCAGTCTTACTCATTATTTTTGAGCACTTCAAAGAGGCAATCTATCATTATTCGGCCTGTGCATTCTTTTTCATACATTCACACCCTTTGCTCCCTGTTTTTTTGCCAATGCCCTCAGATTAGAGGATCATATGTAGCAATGTCATAGTGGCACAAGGACGGGGTCGCTGCTCCACTCTCTGTGACCCAAAAATACTTCACCCTACACTGATGTTTCTTTTCCCTCACATGCTGGGAAGGCATGAGCTATAGACAAATCATCCTTTTGCCTCCTTTATTTCTTAGAAGTTCTTGATGATTCCCTCCTGACACGATTAGAAATGATGTGCCTATAAGTAAAACATACCATGTCATTGGAGAGTTGCATTTTTTGCCAGGAGGTAGAGGAGGAAATGTGCATTGGCTCATGAGCCCCAGGCCTGGTTGCACATCCCATCATATGACATGGCCTGACACCCTTGCCTTCTCCTGTTCCACAAGCCCATCAGGTTCCTTGCTATAATATACCATTTTTTACATGGCATACTGTCCAGGGGTACTTCTCAACAAGGTTGTGAGTCCCACTCTGGCCTCAAAGGCAGACATCAAAGATTGGGTAATCACCTCAGCCAGTTCTTTTAACAATTTCACCTTTAAAGATGAAAAGCATTTGCTTCTTTAGTCTCATAATCGTGGTTTAATACCTCTAACTCTAGAAATAAAAGACCTAAATTTGTTGATCTTTTTTGAGACAGCACCTGTTGCAGACATAGTTTATAATGAAAAATTCTGATAGGAAGATCCTGACAGATCCAAATCCCTTAATGTTGAGACTATTCCTTCATGTATTATGACAAATCCAGAATATGTATCTCTAGTCAGGCACTCCTCCATGCATCCACTTTACTACTTGAGGTACTAAAATAAAGTATCAGAGTGGAAAATATTCTGAAATGGGAATTACATATATCTGTTATTGCTGAATAGTGGCAGGAAAAAAGTAGTCATTTTCAAACCATAATGAAAATAAGACTTACTGAAACAAATTCTTGTATAGTATTACTATGTGTAAAAAAATGGGATACGGTAGGAAAACCCACGCTTTAAAAGAATTATTTACTAAATCCAGGCATATATAAGCATGGGTGATAACCCAAGAAGTTGATTTTTTTTCCTGTTTTTTTTTTTTTCCTGAACTAGGGTATGATATGTTTATTTCTTTAAAATTCTTTATTTGTCTGTTGTGGTTTAGCCCGAGCCAACAACTAAGTACCACACAGCTACTCATTCACCCTGTCCCCCACAGTAGCATGGAGACAAGAATTGAAAAAAAAAGTAAAACTCATGGATTAAGAACAGTTTAATAACTGAAATAAAATATAATCATAATAGAATAATAATAATTGCAATGAAAAGGAAGACAACCAAAAGAGAGAGAGAGAAATAAAACTCAAGAAAGAGAACTAATGCACAATATAGTTGCTGACCGATGCCCAGTCCAGTCCCTAGCAGTGATCAGCTCCTCCTGGCCAGTTCTCCCCAAGTTTATATACTGGAAGTGACATTCTAGGTTGGGGAATATCCCTTTGGCTAGTTTAGGTCAGCTGTCCTGGCCATGCTTCCTCCCAGATTCTTGTGCAGCTTCCCACTGGCAGAGCATGGGAAACTGGAAAGTCCTTGACTTACGATAAGCACAACTCAGCAACAACCAAAACATCACTGTGTTATCCACGTCATTCTCATACTAAATCCAAAACACAGCACTGCACCAGCTACTAAGAAGAAAATTTTCTCTATCCCAGGTGAAAGCAGTGGATTTTCCTGGCACATGCAGAACTGCCTCTGTGAAAGCTTCAGCATCGCTGAGCAGCAGTGTCCCTGCCTGAAAACTTGCCAGGAATGATTCAAAAATTAGGAATCATCCCCATTTATCTGACACATATACAGCATCAAGCATTGAGTGAAATGCAGATATCCCTCCTTTTTTATCCTGGTTTGTACTTAAGTTGGGTTCCTCCTTTCTCTCACAGGATCTGACAGCTCATTGCTATGAACAGTGCCCTCCCAAGGAGGCAGTGGAAAGCTCCAAGCATCACTCCTGCTCCTGGATGCTGATGTAGTTTGATATTTTTTGCTGTTTTTATGATGATGTAGTATGAATGAGACCTGAGACTGGAATGCCATTTTCTGTGATTCACCCTAGCCACAATTCTCCATTTAGTCTGATACTCATAAACCTTAAAATTATTTTAATTATGTTTGTTTAGTTCAATATCCAATAACTGGCAAAGTGAACAGCCACAGCTCTCCAGCACCCCATTACCTGCAGCCTCTGTCACTCTCCTGAGGGGGATGAATTGCTGGGACAGGAGACCAAGTCCCCCATATATCAGGCTACTGCCTAAACAATCACCCATGTGGCAAATGATGGGTCACATGTGGCCTTCCTCTGACAACTGCATTTGCTCAAGGGATGGGTTTAAAGCCTTACCTTCTGCAGATATTTGGTGCTCCTGTTGAACAGATCAGGTAGTTCCTAACGGCATAGTGTAAACAATTAGCATCTATAAAGGCCAGTGAAACCCATTCTTACACGTGTCCCTCCCCATGCATCCCACAGGAGAGGCTCCACACCTGCCTCTGACCTGCACACCCAGCTCAGCAGCAGGGACCTACAGTCACTGCTGAGACACAAGTGATGTGATATGGGTTTGTTTTGCCAATATCATGGTGAAGGATGAAGCCTGTTCTCTGAAATCCTGAAAGGATATCACAGTAGTGCCATAACTATCTTTTTCAGTGCACGCTTTCTTGAGATATTGTTTGGCATTAAACAGCTCTCCAGAACCCAAACATATTTAAAACCAAATATTGACAGACTGCAAAAATGATATGTAAAGGGATACTATAATACATATCTTAGTTTCACCTAGAAAATACAACAAATTAAAAAGAAAAACCCCAAATCACTTTTAATTAATTTTATTTTTCCCAAGCTCTCCTGTCATAGATTTTTAAAAAATAAATCATACGTATCTTTTATCATGGTGTTATTACATTGAATAAAGTGCATGGAATTATTTAGTACACTGAGTACTAGCAAGTAGCAAGAAAATGCTGAAAACCTAAAAAAGCTCTATTTTATTCCAGTTTCCTTTGGTCAATACTCTTGTGGTCTCTTTGCCTGCAACGACAGCTTTTATTGCTGTTACTGTTGTATTACAACAGAGTTACTTGAAAAAGGATCCCTAACCACAACATTTGATGCCCTAAGTGTTATGGGTTGAATTCATGAGATGCCCAGAGCCTGTAGCTGATTTCACCTTCCAGCAAACCACCTTCCTCCTGCCCCGTGCCACACTGTTTGCAAGGGCGGGCTACGTGCCGAAGATGCCTCCACCTTCCAGGCTGCCAAGTCAGGTTTTGTGCACCAGCTCCTCCTGGGCTGGCTCCACGGCAGAGAGAGATGCATGGCAGCCTCTCCACTACCCCTCACACACAGGAGGGCAGCAGCAGCAGCTGTTGCAGCTTGATGAGGAGGGAGGGAGATGAGGAGCAGCTGCAAAAAGGGTTTCTTGGTGAGGGAGGAAGCTGCCCCTCCCCAGCCATAAGTACTCCCCTCACTCGGCAGAAAAATTGGTGAGCAGTGTATTCAGAGCTGTACATGTGCTAAAAATGGTTGTCTTTTCTTTTGGCATTTACAGTGAAAATTACACGAAGTTTAACATTTTCAGGGTGGATATTAAGATACTGTTTCACTGATGATGAATTTTTGCCTGGAACACCACTCACTGGGTAAAATCATGGTGGAGACCTCAGTCTTCCTAAAGTCTAGTCTCCTTTTCTGGCCAGTAAGTTGACTGAATTAAACAGTCACTATTGACAAAGTTATCTTTTCTGCTCTTTGTCCCACAGGTGCCTCTCTCCCCGTTGGCTGAGAGGGTCTCATCTGGTGGAGAAGACCTTTTCCGGAGAACCCAAAGGACAGCAACACTGAAGAAAATGGACACCGTGCCCAACACCAAAGTCAGTCCCAGGTACACATACCTGAGAGAGAAATGATTGATCAGAGCCTATTTCAAAGGCAACATTTGACTAGAAGTCATCAAGAACACATTCATATTCTCATGTGGTAAGGCTGAGTAAGAACACTCTTCCATCAGGAGGAATGACCCTGGAGAGGGGAGTTTGTCAGCTCATCCAGGTCAGGTGGGTGTGGTCTGCGGCCAAGAAAGCATCTCAGGCATTGTCTGATCTCCTCCACTCAAATGTGCTTCAGTAAGAATAGCACTAAAATTTTTAGGGCAATTCCTCTATTTTATGCTTGCCTCATAAAAAGTACCAATGATATCAAAACCATTTGATGGCATTTTTTCTTTTACAGGCATAATGACAGCAACAACAAGAGCAGCAACAATACCATCATTATGTTTTATCAGCAAAAAGAGTCACAACTGAGCTTTTGTTCTTTCCTTCCAATTTTCAAAACATTTTTTCCTGGGGGTGGGGGGAAAGCACAACGTTTTCTCCCATTTTCCTCTTACCCTCGTTATTCCATTCTTCCTTTCTGGTGACACCTTTCATGAATGCATTTCAGATAATTATTGTCCTCTAGCAATAAATTGATAAAGACAACACTGCACTTAAGGCCCTAGATAAGACAAACATGCTTTGTAGTACCTTTCCCTTCTGTTTTGTGGTTCAGCTCCAACATGGAGAAACAATGAGTTTTAATAACCGTTCTACTTATTTGCACATTACCACAGCAGAGTCATTGAAAAATGGGGGAAGCTTTAGCATAAAATTGAGGTCTCAATAGAACCTCAGTATTTTTAGGTGAACAATTAAGTGACAAATATTTCCAGCTGATACTGAAACAAGATGATCCCCTCTCCCCCTAAAAAAAGATTAAATCAAAAGAGAATGCCGAAACCTGAACATTATTGTTAATATTGTTAGTCAGAGTCTTTAATTCAGTTTCAAATCTTTCCACTCCAATTTTCTAACAGAAATTCTTCTGCCAGTGCCAGGCACAGATGCACTTAAAGGGCACAAGTTAAAGAACGAATGGAGAAGAGCTGTTACCTGAGTGCACTGGAGTCATAGAGTCTGCACGCTCCTCTTCCCCCACATCTTTTGCTGCCCCATTTCAGGCAAGTGGTATCTATGGCTACTCCAAAATACACTGGGGCTGGAATTCCCGCTGGGTGTATTTAACAAATAAATAGAGGTAAGAAAGTTACTTTCCAGGGTGATCAGTTCTGATCTAGAGACATGCTCGGGTAGAACATTAAATCACACATTAGAAAAGCAGTGACACTTCCACGCTGTTTGCCTGGTTTGAGGAGACGTGCCTCGTGCTGCCCAGGCACACACCACCCTTTCCTCCCTGTGGGAAGCCAGGGAAGCGTAACAGAACATCAAAAAGCCTGTGGAAGCCAGCGGAAGGAGGGCTGGCCATGATTTGGTTTCCTCACCCTGCGGGACACCTCTGGAGAAAAAAAAAAAAAGGAGATAGTTCTCCTTTCTCAGGAGCAGTGGAGCCTTTTCAGCTTGGGTTTAGGGGGTGTCCTGTGTGTGGGTTGGAGGGGGTGAGAAGGGGGAGAGACAGCGAGGCTGGGAGCCTGTAGTGGGGTTACAAGTATCCTGCAAGTATCCTGAGATGCTGCTGTGGCAGGGACAAACCTGCCACAAAGTGCTTGTGGGTGATGGAAAGGATAGGCCTTTTTTCATACGCTAATGGGATATCCTGGACTCTGTGCCACCTGGGTTGCTGGAGAAGAAAGTAAGCCAGAAGGGAAAAATCTTGGCCTGCAAGGGTGTGAGAAAGCAGCCAACAGTGTTGATCTGCTCTATTTAAGTAGGTGACTTGCTATTATTTTTTTTCTGTGAAGACATAGAGGATTTCAGAATCTCCAGTTCATTGGCATCTCACGGTACCCTTGATTTCAGTGACAACTTAGAGGTGACTCTACCACAAGGCTGCAGCAAAACCTGACCCCAGGCACACCTGTACTCAGAGTAATTCCCTTAGAAACTAATGAAAATTTGCCTGAAAAACAATCACACATTCTCAGCCATAGCAGTTCTATTATGCTTGTTGCTGAGTAAGGAGAGATAAGATGTAATTTTTCATAGTCTGAAGGAACACTTGTCATCTCTATGGATATTGGCCATGTATATCTTAATTCTACCTAAGTCACAGTTATACAATTTAGGAAGCTATTTCATTTTTACAACCCTTTTCCTATTTTTTTTTAATTCATATGATAATTACTTCTCAGTTAGACATTGTTCTTTCCAACAATCAGAGCTTAATTCTAAGATAAATGATTAATGAGGAGGGTATTAAAACAGACTCAAGAGTTCAAATGGACTTACCAAGCACTCTTATTGCCAGGGTATAGATACCAAGTGCAAATGATTTCAAGTGGGGTTTAATGCATCTAAAAATAATAATAATAAAAAAGATGTTACGGACAAATAAAGAAGCAACTGTGAATAATTTGAACACAAATAGAAAGCAAGAGAAAGGAATGTGACTTTTTCCTCCTCGATGTCACTGACTAAACAAGTTACAGAAATACGTAAAAAATGTGATAAAATCAGAACAGAACCTAGGAATTCTGAATATCATATTTTATAATGGTTGTGGATTTTCAGATGATATCAGCACTTAGGACTTACCCACACAGGACAAGAAAATTGATTGTGAAATCATGCATCCATTGGATAGCCTTATTCAGCTAGATAATCTCTGAATTTCAGGATCATGATCCAGGCTAGCACAAGGTATTTAGGCACTCACTTCTCATTGCACTGTATCTAGGATCAGGATCACACCTCCTGTAAAGGCAAATCCTCCAAGCTGTTCTCTGACTTTTCTGAGCTTCCAGGGGAGTCTAACACACACATCAGTCCTTCCAGCTCCAGATCAGCCCTGCTCCAGCCTTCAATTATCACCCTGGCCCACCGAGGAAGACAGGGGTGGTTGGCAGGAGAACAGCTGCCTTTCACAACCATGGTACGAGCAGTGTGTGTATGGACCCACTCAAATTCGTAGGACTCACCTGCTGCTCCCTCACCAGCTGTCAAGTGTGCTGTTTTCCCCAGCAGGTACCAGACTGCCAATTACATCCAGCACGAATCTGAGTACACGCTTGGCTTTTAATGAGTAGTCCCAGTCACATAATTAAACGGGGACATGTTTGATATGTGGGGTAACATATGTGTGTCAATACAGTAACTGATAACATTCCCTGTTGTCACAGTCATTATCTTCATTAGAAAACAGAAAAAAAATTGGGTGGAAATTCAGTTGTCACTATGGATGAACGCAGCACTCTGGAGGTCCAGTCTGTGTGCTCTGAACTAGGATGGGCTCAGCTTCTGCAGAAATTAATGTAATTTGGAATATATTTTTTAAAAAATAATAAAGACATCACAGGACTAGCTCTTTTGTTCCCCACCAGTGATTTTTTAAAATTTCCCAGAACAGCATTAAGAACCCATACTGCAAACGATATTTGGATCATCTTCCTCTAATTTACTGAAAATAGAAAGGACATGAAGGACATTTAAGGAAGAAGGTAGCCTGGAGAAGAGATGATTGAGAGGAGATCTGATGCATACACACATCTGAAGGGCAGGTTTCAAGAGGATGTGGTCAGAATCTTTTCAGTGGTGCCCAGTTTCAGGGCAAAGGACAATGGGCACAAACTTAAACACAGGGAGTTCCATCTGAGTGTGAGGAAAAACTACTGTGAGGGTGACAGAGCACTGGAACAGGCTGCCCAGACAGGCTGTGGAGTCTCCTCTGGGCAGATTCAAAACCTGCCTATACACCAGCCCATGCAACCTGCTCTATGTGACTCTGCCTTGGCAGGAGGGTTGGACTAGGTGATCTCCAGAAGTCCTTACCAGCTCCAGTCATTCTGTGACTCTGTGAAAAGAACACTGAAGTATCATAGTAAAATAAAAAAATTAAAAAAAATCGTGTGCAGCAAATTTTATAATGTCAACACTTTATTCTCTAATGCCCTGGTCGTGAATTATCATCACACAGTCTGTTCCATTGTGGCTTATACAAGCACTGCCATCTATGTAGGCATGACTGTAATATTATTTTAAGCTGTAAGAACAGTGACTTGCTCTCCTATCAGACACACCTTACACAAGCAAGCCTCAGTCTGGAGTCCTTCTAAACAAATCTGAGGGCATAGAAAGGAAAATTGGAAAATAAAACCAATAACTGGATATTTATTATGTGTTCCATAGGATTTATATCCTGCAGAAAAAATCTTCACTTTCAGATGAAAAAAAAAAAGGAATTGTTTGAGCATTTGTATTGTGTTTGCACGGAAACAGGAGTTCTTTGTGATCCTGAGTGATAGCCAGAGCTCTCAGGGAGATCTGAGATTTCCTTTTCACTGCCTGATCACCTGCTATTAATAGCTGGTGCTTGAACAACAGGTATCTGAACTACACGGTGTTTTTCTACAAAACTTTAGGGCTTTCCCAAGTTCCTTGGTGATTGCAATTAGGTTAATACCACTAAAAAGACATTTCAGCAAATGACTCAGTCACTAGCTGTAAGCATATTTCAGTGGCTCCAGTCGTGTAAACCCTTAAAGAAAATGTCACTAAATAGAAAGGCTAAAGGGATTTAGTTGTGTTGGTGCTCCATGGCAGGTGCAATGATATCTGCCCATCAGAAAACATCAGATTGCTTAAGTGCTGGAACTTTAACAGAGCTGACTGAATATTGAATAATTTTAAAAACAGATCATTGGAAAAAGTACTTAATGAAGTCTGCAGCTTGACCTTGGGACTATTTGTTTTCAAAGGAAATTTATTTTCCTTCTGGTAACAGAAGCACACTTTCAATTCAGCCAGATTTTCAGGGAATGTCAGTCAGTGATGGATTACAGAAAAGAGAAAAGTAAGCATGAGCTTAAAGTGGAATTGTGCCCACAGGTCAGTTGCAGTGCAGGAAAAAAAAAAAACAAAAAAAACACCCAAAACCAAAAGGAAAAAAAAGGATTGAACTTACTGAAACACCTTTTATTTAGCTGCACATCAGAGGTGGATGCCCTCAATCCAGCAGGAAAACACATAACTTCTCAATTTCAGTTAAATGTCTCTCAAAATAAAATGATTTTCAACAGCAATAAAAGATTTGGAGCCGAACCAATAAAACTGTTTTGCTGATTTCATATATAAAGTGTTTCAGTATTGTAATTGAAAACCTTTCTAAGCTTTTCTAAATAAATCCATTAAGCAATAAGATTCCCAGGAGAAAGTTCTTAGGGCTGAGAAGTGATGGCAACTCTGTGATTTAAACTTGTAGGTGCTCATTTATGAACATCTCCTCCCAAACACTTAATTTTTTACACAGTGGAGACAAGAGGAAAAGCAGGAGGTTGAGCAATGGCTACAACGGTTTTGAGGCCCTGTGTGGTACAATATCCATACACCTTCCACTCTGTGTCTTATGGATAGGAAGGAGACATCATGTAGAGGGAAAGAGAAAGGAAACTGCCTCCCTGCATAGCCCTATGCCCATATTTATTCAGTGTGTCAGAAGCAACCACAGAGAGAAATCTGGCTTTGCTGCAAGCTCTCAGCTCATGAATCGTCCTCATCTTGGCACATGGACAGTTCAGTGGTGCATAAGCTTCAGTAAAAATTGTCCAAAATGGATTATAATGTGATTGTTCTTGGAGTGAGGCCTTGGGGAGAGAGAGATCAGTGGTAACCCTGCAAGGTCCATGAGGAAAGCTGTGTGGCTGCTGTGGTCTAAGGCGTACACCTCACTGGCAGTGTTTGTCTAGGGCAGTGGAGAAGGATTCTCACCCCAACCATTTCTGAAAGTCTCTGTGTGAATATTGATTTTGGTTCAAGGACTGTGATGGAACCACAGCTGAAGTCACATTCTTTATCCATTTTTTTTCCATATAGCCTATATTGAGCCAGTTCTAGCACTGGCTTTGTCCACGTGATATAAAGGCACCAACAATGAGACAGAGCCTGTTACAGAAAATTTCATTCAAAAACAAAGAGAATTTTGGGGTAAGAAAGCACAATTATAATACTAAAGATTGGTTAGCCTGGGTTTACTGTTGTTTTGTTTGAGAAGTAGAATGTGCTCATCTGGAAATAATTTGGAAAAAGGAACTGAATAAGAAAGCTTTCCAAAACAGAGTGGAGCAGCACTTGGAATCCAAAAATTGCAGAAAGTTGACAAAAATCCAGATTAAGTCCTGGTAGTATTACATGCCTTTTGCACTTTCTAAAATTAGTTTCAAAGCTTACACTCAGTGATGGACAAATAGTCCCAGCAGTTAAATATGTATTGGAACAATCCATTAGGAAAAGCATTTAATAAATCTGCAATTATCAGAACAGAAAAAAAAATCTCTTTCTAAATCAATCTTTGTTTTGAAGAGAAAAAATCTGGAACAGAACCATCATATGGGATAATAAAATGGGCTAGAGGAGAAGAGTTGAGGGTATATAGAAGGTTTGGGTTAGAGTAGCTCCATGCAGTTGTGCATCAGTATCCATAGGAATTGAGGAAAACTGGCTGCTCATATACATATATGTGCACATATTGACACGTACAGAGCTAATTTCCATTTGCAGGGAGGTCATACAACACCATTCTAGTAATGTAAAAGGCAATAAGGGAAGGGGATTTGGATATAAACTATAACTAGGCCTCTTATGTCATGTTTGAAATCAGAAAGATATTGCTGGTAAAGATTATCATAAACACATTGTTGCATTGATGGTAAAAAACTTGTTGCAAAATTTTGAGGATGCTTTTCCATTGTAAAAAAAAAATAAATTTAAAAGCCACCTTGCATAGCTGAAAACATTTCACAATACTAGGAATACTAGGAGGGGAGGGAGACCCAGTCACATACATCAAAACACCTTGAAAAAATTTGGCAATGCTGGCAGAAATTATTTCTTACCTTAGAAGCAGGATGTATCCGGGTGTGCCACCTACTGACAAAGTGTAGGAAGTGATAACCGATATTACTAGAAAATACAGAAACATTTTTGGACACTCATTTCCTTTTTGACACGGTCCCACCACAGCTGAGGAGCTTTGTGAAGATTCAAAGGTTCCCACACAGCTGCAGTTAAAAAATACCTAGAAGAGAGCAGGTGAAAATGTATGAAAACTTAAACGGTGGAGAAGTGGATGTTCAGGAATTGCACATCAAGCTTTTCTGGGTAGCTGAAGGTTTAAATCCAAAGTGGAAATGTTTTGCAAAAGGAAAAGGCTTATTTTTTGAAGGATAAAATTATAAATTATCTGCTGTTGATGAATGTGTTTATTACATTTTTTTTTTCCAAGAGTCTTGGTAGCCAACAGCTAAATAAAACCCCCTCCAAAACATTCTCTGCTTGTGATTTCTGCCAGAAAGATAACTCGAGAAAGTTTTAAATGTGGGTGGCAGATTGCTAAAAAACCCCGAGGAGTTTAGGGTTGAAGAGGACGTGCCTTAGTAAATTTTAATCCACTTACTCTGACAGACCTGGTTGCATTTGGAAAAAATATCACATCACATCACACATGGAAACAAGAGATTGCCTTACGGTGTTTTTCCCACTGCCGTTGGACGCCTGGCAGCCGGCGAGACAGGCAGAAATGTAGGTAACTCCATTTTCTCCACAGATGGGGTCCCAGTCGTTCTTGGAACACGAGCAGCCGGAATTGCACTCTGAAAACACGGCTTGCTCGTAATCAGTCGTCTGTTTGGTTCTGAGGAAAAAGAGAAATTGCGAAGACCTTTTCTAGCAGACGTGGAAGAAATCATTATCAAATCACGGGCTGTGCTCTCTGACAGGTGCTCCTGGCCAGTCCTCCCCTCTGTAGTCCATTAAAGGTTGTCCCTTTGCATCCATGCAGCACTGTAAATTCTTATTTCTCTGTTATCCAAATGTCTTAGCAATATCACACCATCTACTGTGACATGGTAGCTACTTTATTAAGGGTGACAGCTAACAATTTCTATTCATGAATTTGCTTATATTTTCTAAGATTTTAGTTATCTGAGGCTGGATGCAGTTTTAACAAAACTGGACAAACGGCAAAGGGGGGATTGAGTTCCTCGTGGGAAATGGTCTCTGTAGAAGTTAGTGAGGAGTTTATCAGATTGGGATTCAGTTTTGTTTAACCTCTGCTGTCCATTTGAGATTTGTACCAACTCAGTGGGGCACAAACTTGCATGCAGCTGTCAAACATCAGTGTGTCATATTCCACCCCCACACCTCCATGGCATTTTTTTTTGTTCTGACCAATCCTGCACACGAGGTGCAGTGGAGGAGGCTGTGCAGGCCCTCTGCACCTCTGCTGAACTGAGGTCCAATACCTTGCAATCCGCCAACTTCAGTCACCTGCTGCTAAAGACACTAGTGGAGCAGCTCCTGGAGCAGCTGTGCAGTCAGTGCTGGAAACTCCTACCAAAAAGTGAGCTTTACAGAGTAATAGAATGGGCAAAAGTGACCCAAAAGTGACCCTTAGGTGTACCTGATGGTTAACATTATGGCTTACTCATGGTTAATCCAGGAATTCTGAAGTTTTGGGTTCAAAGGCTATTAAACATTTGTTTTTCAGCACACGGAAGCAAGGAACAATTAATGGAATCCCCACTACTGAGCTCCTCACATTTCCAGAAATCCCTAGGCTCAAGGGATGGGTCCCATGGAAATAACAATTACAAAGTAATCAGAAAAATAATCTGCACTTGTGACATGAACCCCTCTGGTTTATGCCACCATCATGAAAGTGTTCTGACACGATGTCCTCTGCAATAGATGGAGTGGTTTCCACCGCTTTGAATCAAATTTCTGGGAAGCGTACTTGGGTCCATCACTCTCTTTTCAAAAATATATGCACTTTGTGGGATAAAATGAGGAAGGAGTTTGGTTTGCAATAGCACTTGGTGCCGTAGGATGCCCTTCCCAGCATACCCGTGGTACGACACGGTCAGTCCGGCCACTTCCGAGTTCTCACAGCCCATCGCAAACAGTGAGAGGAGCAAAAGGTAACCAAAGAAAGACGATCCCAGGGAAAGTTTTGCGGCCCCTAAAACACCAATTCTGAATTTTTTCATGACGAGTCCTCCAGAGAATATGCCAAAGGCCACAGCAGGAATGTTGATAAGACCTGAAATGGGACAGAAAAATCTGTATTAATGAAAACCCCAGCTCAATGGGCTAACTAACCTTCCCAGCCAAAAAAACAGCTGCAGCAATAAGATGAAGGAACAACTTGAACTGATCCTTGGACTGTTACCAAGGTGCTGGAGCTGCTTTTAAAAATTGCTCCCAGGGACATGCTTCAGTGCTAGTTCTTTGACAGAAATAAAGAATTGGATAAAGTTTAGCTAACAATCTTCCAATTTCTTAATTTCTTAATCTAGGTGGTTTTCTCCACTGTTAGTTGGTCAGTGGAGGGATCTGCTCATTCCTAGAGGACTAATTTAATTTTACCTACAGTGTTATGAAATCTGGAGCAACACTTGCTTTTTCTCTCTCTCTCCTTTTTTTTTTTTGTTTAAATGCTTCAAATTGCTCTAGCAATTTTGAAATCTCTCAGAGAGATTGTGATAGAATTTGTCAAAAAAAATAGCAAAAGAGAGGGGGAAAGTGAAATAAACACTGTAAGTTCTAGTCAGCCCTCAGCAAGGGGGGATTTGAAGAGAAAGGAAAAGAAGGAAGAAAAACTACCTTATTGCAGGGATAGCCACTCAGTAAGGATCCTTCCCTAGCCAAGTCATTGCATGCTTTCTGTTGCATGTATTCCCTATGCTCAGTGAAGTCAAACTGTTCTTAATCCCCACTCAGTTTGCACATACCTGAAAGCTTAGCTCCAAAAAAATCTTTAAATACAATTGGAAGTGCTCTACTGAATGTAGGGATTGTTTTCTGGGCTTTCTCTGGCCATCAACTATACTTCAAGATTTCTCCTTGCTTTGAGGAGCTTCGTGCCAGGAAATTCCAGCTTCTATCTTTAAGGAATTAGCACATAGCACAATGGATCAATACAGCTTTTCTGCATATATATACCTCTGTTGCTGTGCAACTAAAGCTGCCCTGAAACAAGGCAGTTCCCTCTGTATTGGGTAGATGTAAACCTCTTTGCTGTTTTAATGCTGTTGAATCCCTGGACTTTAGGAAGGGAACTCAAGCCTGTGTGCAGGTTCAGCAACTGGGCATTTGAGTTCATGATCCTGAAGTCATCTACAAAAATGGCCACCATGGTACCCAAAGGCAGAAGCAGCATCTCTCTTTCTTGTGCTGTAGAGAAGATTTTGGAATATGACTTGCCTTCCTTTTATTTAACCCCAGCCTCTTCAGAAAGTAAGAAATCACTGGCAATATGACATTGCTTTATGGTTAATCCTTTAGCACTCACTGACATGATCTTTATTTTGTTGAAATAAATGGGATGCCAGCAAGGAAACAGATCTGTCTGATGACAAATTTACATAAAGTACTTTAAAATCAATTCTCTTCTCAATTACTTTCTTGTGCTGTACATATATAGTATTTTTCAAATTTCCAGTTAAATGGGAATTAAGGTATCAAATAATGTGAACTTTCACAGTAACTCTTGCATAGATAAACTCAGAGTTAACTAGTGTTAAGGAAGAAATGAAAGAACTTACCTGCTATAAGCTACTACTTAACTAAGGAAGAAATGAAAGAACTTACCTGCTATAAGCTACTACTTAAAGTCAGACAAGGAAGGAGAAGAAATAAACATATCCTAAAAAAATACAATTTTCCCTATATGAGTGTACATGCCACTCCTAAAATGTCCACTTTAAAGATATCAAGAAGCAGATATAGCATTACCTATAACAAAGTTAGTTTTTGAAGATGTTTGCCCGTACTGTTGTTCAATATACTTTGGCTTATATGTCACCATGCCGATTAAAGAATTGAACTGAATGATACTTGCACACAAATACAGAATGTAAACTGGATTCCCAAAGAGGCACTTCAGTGATGGAAGGAAGTCTGCAAGACAAAACAGCAGAAATGACAAGCAGACCAGAGAGAGAATAACTGTTGTGAATAATGCTTTGTGATATGTTTGCACCTTCTAAAAAAAAGGACTGCAGAACGTTTCAGAAGGAATCCATGAAGTTCCATGATGCTCCTAAGAGCTCTCCCATTTCTGGATGGAGGAAAACACTAAGCATCAATATCCCAGAAGAGGTACCTTGTTTTCTATTCCTTCTTTCGATCATAAACCAGGACTGATTTGGTTTCTATGTGTTCTCAACAGCCACAGCACCTTTCAGCTTAATTTGGGGCAGAGACTGCTCAGCACAGCTGACAGTAAGCACAGACATATTGAGTTACAGATTCAAGTACTGAGGGGAAAATGCTTTTGGCAAAGTAAGGCCATGGAAATGCAACTGTGCAAACCAGCTCCTGCCTAAATCCAGACAGCCTCCAACAGTACTGTAGTGAGTCAGTGCCCATCCTTATTCTGATCAGATATTGCATGTGTTTTTCTAATGAATGAACTTACAGAAAAAGGTTTAGCAAAAACCAAAAGTCTTTTTTGATCACTGCTTCTGCAACAGTCACTATCTGTGAATGAAAAATTTTTGCAGGGTTTCATGGGATTTGCTGGCCCACTAGCATAATTTTACAAATCCCAGATGAAGAAATCCCACATGCAAGAGTAGGTCCAGGAAACAATGAGAAGACCCATTATATGTCTGTTATTTAGGTGGAGAGTGACACCTGGGGGGAAAAATCATAATTCTCAGCCCACTAAAATAGGGCCTCAGAAAGTATAAAATTTCAAAGTATAAAAGCCTTTGAGAGAAAAACAACAATCAGGAAAGAAACTCCAGTGATTTGCCTTTTGCCATCTCAGCAATCTTCGTTTGTTGCTGATAAGGTTTGTGTTGGTCCTTGTTATCCTCGATGATGAACTTGGACTGCTCAGAAGAGGTGCTGGAGTCCTTCCTGCTCTCCGGTTTTGGGAGGTGCTTGGGCAGGAACCAGAAGGGGATGCCGGCCAGAACGCTGATCACACCGGCTATCAGGTAACCCAGCCACCATGCTCCCACCCACTGCACGTCCTTGGGAGTTATTGTGATGCTGTCTGGAGAAAGCCAACAGAAAGAAGAAACAAACAGATGCTTTTCGAGAGTGCTGATAACAGGGAAGGTGGTTTTTCAGGGGCTTTCTCTGCAGGAGTCTGTTCCCACCTCACCAGGTTTAACTGTGAGTCTCTGAGGGTGTTACAAGAGCAGCTGTGGGGATGCAACAAGGACTTGTTGATTGCTGTGACACAGCAGCAGCCTGGCCCTGACACTGCTGTGCCTCTTGCACATCCCCAGAGATGCTGCAAGGCCCGGGAGGTGGGGTAGCCCAGGTGGTCACTCCCCGGCTCCCAGTCAGGCTGTTCTGTACAAAAGCCCCAAGGAAAAACAGGGTGGAAAACGTTTTCTCAGGCAGAAGGCAATCAGGAGACCTGGTGCCCACTGCCAAACTATGTTTCCAGGCAACAACAGGATACTAAAAAATGCACACACATAAATCCTGAGCCTCAGTCTTGCCTCCTCCTGGCACCTGCTGTCTCCCCTGAGCCTCCTCCCCAGGGCATCTCTTGGAGGCACCCGCTGCAGACTTGCTGGGACTGAGGAAGAGTCAGATCTTCTAATTCCTCCACAACCATCCTTTTTTGTCAGCCTTTTCTGCATGGACCACTCTATTGCTGTCATCCTTTTTATTTCATAATTACAGAATATGTTGAGCTGGAAGGGACCCATTAGGATCATCGAGCCCTGCACAGGACCATCCCCAAGAGTCACACCATGTGCCTGTTCTACTCCTGTTAGCCCCTTATGCATAACCAGATAGTTCTTGGTCCAAAATAGGAATTTTGGAGCCTGACTGAATTTTTGAAACCCGAGTTTTCTGACTTACCCAGATCTACGAAGCCTATGTCAACATAAAGTTTGGCACACAGGGATCCCAGAAGAAAGCCAAATATTGGCCCTATAATTGCCACTGTCTGTACACAGCCTGGAATAAAAAATAGGGGACTGTTACACTCCCAAGTCAAAAAGAGCACTGGTTCTTCTGCACCTAAAAGCAGAGTATGACATCTGTAAGTGCTAGAAACTCTTTAGCTAAATACATTAAAGTAACTGGAAAGCAAATGGCAATTATTTAAGTGATCACTTTAGGCTGAGTGGGACTCTGAATAGGCTGAAAAATACCATTATTTTGGTATCCAATAATATTTCCCTACACCCTCAGCCAAACTTTCTGAATACTGTGAATTTTCAAAATTCGTCTGGGAAGACTGAATCTTTTACAGAGAGAACCTGAGTTTTTGCCAGTTACCAGGCTGGAAACTTGTCAAGACAGGATGCTGATGGGGAAGGAATTTTTTGGTAATATTCCAGGTGAATGTGCAGAGGTCAGGCAATGAACACAAGAAAGCAGTGATACCAACTTTCTAAAGCCTCAGCACTATTGTTTATAATTCTGCTGGAATCTGGAGGCAATGTTTTGAGTGCCTGCTAAAATTCTATTTTAAGTGCTTGAAAGAGCATGTTTTTATCACCTTCCAGAGAACTGAATGTGCACAGAGGCTCAGCAGTCCACATCCAGAAGAATTAGGAAGATTAGGAGAACAGCAGGAACCTAAGGTCAAATTCTTTCATCAAATTAAGATAATGGAACTGCTGGTATAATTAAAGGGGAACTTGGTCCCTTGACTGTACATGACTTAAATAAATTTTAATATTGGAAATTATGCAAACAAAACAATCAGGGCAAGTTAATTCAATAACACTCCTTCCATTATTCAGAATGACTCCGTTTCCTCTGGGGAAAAATCCATTAGGAAAATAAGTAATATTTATTTTACCAATATATAAGGCAGCGTTCTCTTCTATGGCATAATCATCAATGTATGTAATTCCCAGAGGCTGGATAGGGGTTTCACCTATTCCACGCAAAAGATTTCCAAGTAAAACGTAGATCCACATGGAAGAGCCTGCTTCCTTTTCACATCCTGAATACATAACAAGAGACAGCAATTATATGCTTTTCATAACAGTTTGACACTGAATGCACAGGTTTTCTAAAATAATTCTAAAGTGGGAAAAACAGAAGGAAAACCGGGAAGTGTGGGGATGGCAATTTTAACCCAGTCAGCTTAAGTGGAAATATTTTTAGCACAAACTGCCTCAAAGATACTAGGAGTTCACTGATTTTATAAATTTGTCACCACGTCCCATTTTAGAAAACTTTTTCACTTTTTTCTAACCAAAACTGGGATCCCCTGATGGAAAGATTTGGGAAACATTGATGACAGTGAGTACTGCTGGCCACATTTAATCCACAGGTGTGGGGATGCAAACATACACACATTTTGGGACATATAGAGGGTCTGATTTGCCAGGCATAGGGGAGGAAAGTTCCTTCCCCACGAGGAACTCAATGCATCCAGCAGGGACACAGCTCTGTGGTGTGCAAAACAGGGTCAACAGGCAGGGAGAGAAACAAGAAGCAGAGTCTGCAGGCTGGGAGACCCAGTGGCTCTTTCCAGCAGGCTGAGGATCTGAAGACATATTTCCACTACTGTGTCCAGCTCTGGGCCCCTCAGTTCAGGAGGGATATTGAGGTGCTGGAGCAGGTCCAGAGAAGAGCAACAAGGCTGGTGAAGGGATTTGAACACAAGTCCTATGAGGAGAGGCCGAGGGAGCTGGGGTTGTTCAGCCTGAAGAAGAGGAGGCTCAGGGGAGACCTCATCACTCTCTACAACTCCCTGACAGGAGGTTGTAGCCAGGTGGGGGTTGGTCTCTTCTCCCACACAACCAGCAGTAGGACAAGAGGGCATGGTCTTAAGCTGTGCCAGGGGAGGTTTAGGCTGAACAGTAAAGAGAAATTCTTTACTGAGAGAGTAATCAGACATTGGAAGGGGCTGCCCAGGGAAGTGGTGGATTCACCATCTCCAGAGGTGTTTAAGATGAGACTGGATGTGGCACCAGTGCCATGGTCTGGGAACTAAGGCGGTGTTGGATCAAGGGTTGGACTTGATGATCTCAGAGGTCTTTGATTCTATGATTCTATGATTTCCCAGCAAAGGAAACACCATGACTTTCCATGGACCCCATGGGAGATTGGTGTTTCTGCAAAACACAGAGCTGCAGAAAGTGGCTGAAGGAGAAAGTAAACCTGGAGGAAAGGCTGCAGCCCGAAAAAACTCTTGGGCAGTTATACATTTATTTTGAATAAACTTGCCTCAGTCAGTAGATCTGTCTTTTCTGTGGGAAATATTCATCTGATTTTCTTTTTTTTCCTTTTTTTTTTTGCATTCTGATTAAGTAGTGCATGAGCCTTTTAGAGCCTTGTGATATATTTTAGGGTGCTTATCACAATATTTAACAGAGATCTCTCTCACCTTCATTTATTTTTGCTTGAGACTTTTCCAAGGATGTGAGTGGAGTTTGGCTTTTATCTTGCAGACATGGAGAGATGTTAACAGTCGAGTTGATGGTGGAAGGGAATCTTTCATAGCGATATCTGTTTAAAAAAACAAAGTTATATTTGTTTATAAGAACTGATAAGAAAAAGCAATCAGATCTGTTACTACCAGGTAGGCCTATAGCACTTAAGTGCAAATTTCATCCTGAGTTTAGTCATCACTTCTTCACTGATGCTTCAACAATTCCTAAACCGTGTCAAAATGTGGCCAGTCAAAATCACAGACTAATAAAACAACAAGCTGATTACAACTGAGAGAGCATATACGTTAAATTATTTGCTCCACAGGAATAAGCCCTTTCAGGAAAAATATCAGATTAAGTAACAACATCCACATATGCATATTTCTATGGGGATCTTCATAATCAGTGCCTGAATATTTTAGTGAGCTGCCATTCAGTGTGCACAGCCCAGCTGTAAAATGCTGATCACTTTGCACTTACCGTCCCATGAAGAACTGGGGCATCGCAATTAGGAATGTTCCAGCTGACATAATTAAGCAGCCTGCTCCAATTATTCTTGGCCTGTGAAGCTTTGCTCCAAAGTAGCTTACAAGAATTATGATTAGGAGGTTCCCTTCGAGAGTACAAAAGGAAAACTGAGTTTTACTGCTTGTTGATAAGAGATCCCCTAAAATAACCACTCCTAGTATGTGGTATAGGCAGTGTTTTCAGGGAGAGAGGGCTGATGGTCTGGGGTTGCTCTTTCTCCCTCTTTCCAGGCATTCTACAGGAACCCAATGCCTTCTGTGATAAGAAAACCATAAACTTTTGGATAAACAGCTGGAAAAGAGGAGAAGGACTGTGTCAGCTGAAGAGAGTAAATCACCAAAAAAGCAGGAAAAGGGGAAATCAGAATTTTATATACTTAGGCTAAGATTTCATTCCCATGAGTACCACACTCCAATGAGATAAATTCACTAATCTGAAATCGTAAGAGACAACGTCTTGCTGGAAACTTTAGTACACAGGGAAGGAGATGGACTGGAAAATAAATGTAGATTACAGTTAGAGGTTTGTACTCCTGCTGCTTAATAAATTATAACAGGTAAACACTTGCAGGGGAGGTAGATTACTGACAAAAGCAGAGAGAAAGTATAAATCTGTGCAGGCAAATTCTCATTTAACAGTCAAAATTTCTGTTAGTATTAATTAGCCAGACACTAAGCTTAACAAATCACAAGGACTATGCCTAATTTCTTGTGTTAGCAACCAACCCGATGCTATCCAATGTAATCATACTGACAGTCCCACTGATTTTTACTAGGGTAATCTTTTTCAGTTTTAATGGTTCAAGGAGATTTGTACAATCATTCTTCACAACAAATTGCATCATTCTTTTTTACTGAGAATAAAAATGGGTTTCTACAGCACGTACCAATTTCAAAACTTCCATCAATAACGCCAACCAAAGAGGAAGGGATATCAAATCTTCTTTCTATTTGTGTGATAGTACTTTTTAGATAACTTCCTGACAGTGCTTTAGCAAAATAAACAAAAGACAATGCACCGAGAAATATCTGTGGAAAAAAATTGACAGTGATTAGAATAGGCAGTACAGAAGATTTTACTTTGTGAATTATTTTTAAGCAATTTTTACATTTCCACCTCTCCTTTTCCCAAATAACCATGTCAATATTTCTCCTAATTTTTTATTAAATCCTATATTGCTGGTTTGTTCATTTCTTATGAGCAATATTGGTATATATTGAACTGAACTTGCTATCAACCACTGCTAATTTCAGGTAGGTGCCAAAGGTGCTGCTGCAACAGACAGAGACACAGATCTCCCTCATGATGTTCTAAGGAGGTGGTATCTTACACAGTAAACCATGAGGGTAAATGTTAAGTGTGGCTTGGTGGGGAGGTGAGTTATTTGGGCATTTTTAAACACAGGCTTTTGCAATGGTCTGGAATTGAGAGGCTCTAAGCTGTTCCCACTCAAGTCCAGGGTGACCAGGAGGGAGAAATCTTTGCTTTCTGTTACATGGCTCCATGAGTTGAACAGTGACCTGCCATGCAATTACCTTCTAGGCTCATCCTCTGCTCACCAAATATCTTGCAAGCTGCAACACATATGTTTTCTTTTGAAAAAGAAAACATTTTGCTGGGAACAACCTTCTCCCATCCTTTAGTTTTTCAAAGACAGTTATTTTTGCTTAGTTATCACTGTATCAGTTTTAGCCCATTGCTCTGGATCAGGAGCAAGCTTTGGGAATTAAACTCCCACCCCCTTCACTGTGCTTTGCTACGTACTGCAAATGTGCAGGCTGAAACCCTTCCACACAAAATTAAACTGGAAGATATGTTCCAGACAGGCATTACATTCACTTCAACAGTCAATGGCTCTTCAGTCTCTGGGACAAGATGAGGGCTGGTCTGAAGTATCTCCCCACTCTGAAATGCCTATAGTGGGAGTGCAGGGTCCTCAGCACCAACTGTTCTGCTCCTGCAGAGCTATTGCTTTAATTTGCCTTCACTGAATGCAGCCCTACTGAGTTATGAGCTCCATGGATACTCACACATCATGCAATTGGTCATAGAAATCACAACATTACTTTCTACCTTCAGATACTGGTTTTGTTGACTGAATATGAATACGGGTGTTCTTTGTAAACGGCGTTAAAAAAAGAAACCCAAACCCTAACCAAGAAATTAAAAGGCACAGTAATGTCTCATAAGAATAGAGGTCTAGAGCCTTGGCCTGCTCCTTAATCCTCTCTGAGCAAGTGAGTAGGTGCTCTGAAGTGATGTACTCACCTCCAGTACAAAACTCCTCACAACACCTCATTTGACAGGGCACAGTGGTAATAACACTGGTGCTACTACTACTGAACACAAATTCTTGTGTTAAGATTCAAATGTATCTCTGTGCCTCCCTCAGCATACTTTATCCAGTGCTGGTTATTCCTCCTTCAGAAAGAGTTGTGGGCAAATAAACATACACAACCACTGTCTAGTTCCTATTTCCTACAACGATGGCTCTCAAAGGACTCTCTTGTAAAAATATTGCCATAGTATTTTACATTTTCTGTGTGTTTATGCCCTTGGATTCTAAATAGTAATGTGAAAGTACACATTTTTTTTACAGGAAAGTCATATAGGTAAACTAGAACTTGAAATGTCTCTGTCTCTCTTTGACACAAGTTTATTTACTGGGGTTGCGACTGTCCCAGGTGTGCTCCTGATTTAGAGCTGGGACAGAAAGGTGCACATGATTTCAAATTCTGCTCTGGTTTGTCAATGCCTGTTAGTAAATATTTTACCACATCTTTCTGGTTTATAAAGGCAGTTTTAACACACAGAAAGGCTGATAATTGGTAAAAACAACTCGTTGAATCTACATATTGTTTTGCTAACATATTAGGCAAATACAGACCTGAAGTAGACTTTTTCATAACTTAGAAATTTTTTAATAATTTCGTTCTGACTAGAAATGCATGATCAGAACTGAAAAAGACTTAGTTCACAAAAAAAAAAAAAAGAAAGAGGTTTTCTAACTCCCTACTGGAATGGATTGGTTGTGTCTGTTTGGGTTCCCAGAAGACACAAATTCTTCGGACAGAAAGAAACTGAGCTGAAATATTATTGCTTTTCTATTTTTGGAGCTAATAAGCTGATTCTTGACTGGCTAAGCTGTGACTGAAGGTTTATTCATTGAGGGGATCGGATTATCATTGCAGCAAATGGATGAACAATGACAGAATTACTATTATGCTACAAGATTTAATTAATACAACTCATCTTCTATTTCAAAACCAGAAGATCCCAAATTCATAGACTTCAGGGCAATTATCAGTGATGTTATTGGCTGTATTGGGAGCTGGATTAATATCTGAAAGTAGATGTGTGTAAGAGAGAGAGATTAAAAACAAAAGAAATGAAGACTGTGCAAGATGAAAAGAACAGGGCAAGGCCAAAGACGCATTTTCTGTATAACTCAAATAATTTCATCTCGTCGTTGCATGGTGATTTTTGAGACCTCACCCAAGAGGGTGTCAGCATTTTACAGCCTGGCTTTGGAAAGCAGGCAGGGACAGTAGGCAAAGCACCATGCTGCCTCCTGCACCCAGTGTCCCATGCAGGGAGGAATGCTCCTCCGAGGTGCAGCGGTCCTACTGTCAGGTAGGTACAGCCACGCTATGAGGCTTAGAGCAGGGAGCTTCCATCACCTCGAGGAAGAACTGCTCTGGGGTGAGATAAAGGCAGATACAGTGGTGATACTTCTGCAGTTTCGTTTCAAAGTCATCTCATGCAGAGTTCTCTTGAACAAGGAATATTACAATAATACTTTAATAATATTGCACTCAAAACGCATGGACCGTAATACGAATAGTATTTTTGAAAGCCCAGAGAACTATCAAGGCTACAAACCTAAAAGAGAAATTTGTACTAACAGCTGCCTGTGGTACCTGTCTTCCAAAGCTTTGTTCTTAACTTCAGGTGGTGCAATAAGGAGGACTGAGTGACTTTTCAGGATGACCCTTGAAGATCTCCTAACAGGCAAGCCCCAACCGACAAGTTATACTGGAATATTGCCGAGTGTTAGGCAAACACAGATCTGAAGAAGACTTTCTTTGTGACTTGAAAATATCTTCAATAGTTTCATACTGACTCAGCAAGACATAATCGGAAGTGAAAAAGCGATTTTTCACCAAAAAGAAAAAAAAAGAGATTTTCTACATTCCTACTGGAATATTCAAAAACTCTTACTCTACCTTTATACCTCCACAACATGAGTGTTTTTCCCTGGATGCAGAAGATTCAGATTTGAATGAAGATCGGTCCACAGGCAGGATTGTGTTGTTTGAGAAAAAGCGGGTATTTTCTTTTGATGAAACCTCCATGATGGTATCCTCTGTCTCTAAAGCACAAAACATGGAGAACATTTTAAAAGGGCATCCTATTAGCTCAGCCTCAAAAGCTTGTCATGTGACAGCAACACCCCGCTGTACTGTTTTCCCTACAACAGCAATTATCAGACTTTACAACAGAATCTGACCAATGCACTGGATGTTTAATTATGGAAATTTGCAATCCACTTGCCCATAACAATGGAGATTAAATCATTCTCAGCAAACAGCCATTATCTTCACTCTCTAGCTATCATCAGCATGATTTCATTTAACATTTAACCAAGAACTACCAGCAGACTAAGCAAGGCTAGTTAGCGTTTTAAACAACATTTCATGAGTCTACATGTAAGTTCATGTTTCTAGATGTGACCATGTCTGCAGAGATTTCTCAGAGCTGATCTCTGAATTTCCCATATATCTGGGACATTAAGTAATTAGATCAAAGGAAATCTATCCCCGTTAATGAGGGACTTGAATTGTTTTAGATGGAAACATTAGCTCTAATCGTCTGACGTTAGCTAATGAGTTACACAAGAATAAAGAGGTTTAGTTCCCTTTACCATTTTACATAGAGTCTTAGGGCTCAGTGGTCAATTGTTTCAGGAAAAATGTGAATTTACTTCTTTGCAGGTAAATACAAAGAAGTAAAGAAAACCTAAATGCTGAACTTTGAGAACAAAAGATATCAGTAATTCTTAAATCTCTGGTTACATACAGCAGTACTTTGTTCTTAATTTCAATCTCTAAATCAGATCTGAAAATATTTATGAAATCAGCTTCTGTGTTCACTTTTAAGAAGTACTATGTTTTACAGAACTGCTGCCTGAAAGTATAAATAGGAGAAGTTCCTATTCTTCTGTGTTTATCTAAAGACAAAGATCTTACCTAAGTTAAATATATACATGGTTTCATGTATATGTATATATACTGTGGATACATGTGTTTTCATGGTTTTCCAAGGGTCTGTGCAATAGATACTTGTGTTACCAGAAATGCAAAAAACCATAAGTATATCTAGATGCTAAGATTTACTCATGCAAATATTTTCCTAGGCTCTGTTCATATATGACTTTGGCACCAACATTTTTGCTGAAATCTCTCCATCAAATGAAATAAGAGCTCCTGACTACACATAAGAAACATATTCTCATTTGATACTGCCTTGACAGGGATGTTAATAAATTTCCTTGTCAACACTAGTGAGTATATAGATTTTTTTTTTTAACAACAATAACAAAATCAAAATGGTTTGTGCTTGCTGCACACCCATTGCACCTATTCCTGCTCTGCTTCTGACTTTCTTGTGATCTTGGGAAAAGTCACACATTGTCTCTCTCTGCCCCACTTCTGAACTTGTCCAATGGGTAATGAGAGCATGTACCTCAAATGTACCTCACAGCACTTGTGTGAGGATAAATTCCTTTAAACTTTTGAGCATGGGCATGACAATCACATAAGGTATGCTGCTACATACACACACCAAATACCCTTTAGGTTAAGGTTTTAAATGCTCTGCACATCTACAGCAATTTCAGAATAAAACAAAAAAAGCACAAAACCTGGAAAAGGAAAACATATGTACCACAGCTAAGTGAATTGTCCTTATCTCTGAGCAGAGCAACATCCAGCTAGAGGAAGTTCAGCAGAGGTGCAGAGGGCCTGCACAGTCTCCTCCACTGCACCTCGTGTGCAGGATTGGTCAGAACAAAAAAAAATGCCATGGAGGTGTGGGGGTGGAATATGACACACTGATGTTTGACAGCTGCATGCAAGCTTGTGCCTTGCTGAGTTGGTACAAATTTCGAATGGACAGCAGAGGTTAAACAAAACTTACGTCCAGAAGCATAAAAAACATTACAGTACAAATAACATTGGCATTTATTATCTTCCAAATGGAAGAGTGCAAGGAAAGACTGATAGCCATACAGGTTTTACAGGCTTTAATGTATCCCCAGTTGCTCTTGTGGCACAGCTTTAAGGAGGTGGGTAGTTTTCAGGCCCAGAGCCACCTGCAAAAACATATCTCAGAGCATCAGTTTGGTTGCCCTGACAATGCCTCTGATGGAAGCCCTTAACACATGACAGAGAGCAGAGAACTGTGCCCAGTGGTACTACAGCTGGCCACACTAGTGGCTTTGATCCTTCCTCTTTTCTGCAATCAGAATACATAGGAGTGTTCCACTGTAATCCCAAATTTGCCCTACGCCGCTCAAATACTTTTTGGTGGGAGTATTCATAATACACTGTCAACTGCAGTGAGAGGTCAAAGACAGCTCTGGTTTTAAACAAGCAGACACCTGGATGCCAAGGATGGTCTCTTACTGATTTGGGTATAGTGACAGCCTCAGGTTTTTGCCCTCCCTTTCTCCAGTGACACGAAACATGAGGACAGAGCTCATGTCAGCATTTCCTTTCCAAACATGGTAGATGTGCCAGAAGAATGTAATCATAGAAGCATTTGGGTTGGAAAAGACCTCTAAGATCATCAAGTCCAACTGTTGACCGGGCAAGTCCACCACTAAACTAAGTGCCACGTCCACCTGTCTTTTAAATACCTCTGGGGTGGTGACTCAAACACTTCACTGGCAGCCCGTTCCAGGACTTGACAATGTTTTCAGGAAAGAATTTTTTCCTAATATCCAATCTAAACCTCCCCTAATGCAACTTGAACCTGTTTTCTCTTGTCCTATAGCTTGTTACTCAGAAGAAGAGACCCACTCCCCCCTGGTTACTACCTCCTTTCAGGCAGTTTTAGAGGGTGATGAGGTCTCCCCTGAGCCTCCTTTTCTCCAAGGTAAATAACCCCAGCTCCCACAGCAGCTCCTCATCCGACTTGTGCTCCAGACCCTTCACCAACTTCCCTGCCCTTCTCTGGACACAGACCAACACCTCAATATCCTTCTCATAGTGAGAGGTCCAAAACTGAACACAGGACTCGAGGTAATGCCTCACCAGTGAAGAGTACAGGGGGGTGATCACTTCCCTAGTCCTGCTGGCCACACTATTTCCAATACAGGCCATGATGCCACTGGCCTGCTCCTGCACCTTTAAGATTTCTTTCTTGGAGAGCATCCAGCCTCCCTTGACCCTTTTGCCACTTACAACTACCTCCCAAGGGACTCTGTCAACCAGTCTCCTAAACAGGCCGAACTCTACCCTCCAGAAACCCAAAGTGGCATTTCTGCTGACCTACCTCTGTACTACTCCAAGAACCAAAAGTTCTCCCATTTCATGATCACTGTGCCCAAGACTGCCTCCAACCACCACATCACCCACAAGCCCTTCTCTGTTCACAAATAACAGGTTCAATGGAACACCTCCCCTCATTGTGCTCCCTCATCAGGTGTGTCAGGAAGTTATCTTCCACATGCTCCACAAACCTCCTAGGTTGTCTGGACCTCCTAGAACTCCCTTCCTCTCTGCTGTGTTGTATTTCTAGCAGACTTCCACCATGACATCTGCCTGGTTGCCCTTCCCGCTGACTCTTACCCATGAACATTCAGCCTTATCACCACCATCATTAAGGTCTAGTAATCAAAACACATTGTAACATATAGGACTACCCCATTGCCTCTACCTCCTTGCCTGTCCCTTCTGAAGAGTTTATAGCCATCCATTGCAATGCTGCAGTTGTTCTTCATCACACCTGCAGCGCCTGTTCAGGTGGGACAGCTGCTGGCCATGATCACACCTTATCCCTGGCTGTCACCTGGACCCACAGCCGAGGCTCTGACCCCTCCTTGCATCCCTGGCTCCAGCTGGATGGGGTGTGGGAGCCCTCTCTGGTGGCTGTGCTTCCTATCCCGCGGGAAGCACGGCCGGTCGCTCACCTGTGACACAGCTCTGGCGGCAGCGGCGCTCACCCTCCCGGGAGCCGGCATGTGGAGCTGAGCCTCATGGTCAGGTCCAGGGACGGACTCATCCCTCAACGTGCATGCAGCGGGCTGAGACAAGTCTAGGCAGTTCCTGAAGAGTCTCCCTTCACTCATTCAAACTCCAGGCAATGGAAAAATGTCCTTCCCCCCCCTGGAAACTCCCCCATTTGCAGTAAGCCTCCTTAGACATGCCTTTACTGCGTGTCAGCCCGCAGGCACAGGAGCTGCACTTGCTACAATGGGTGGACACAGAAGGCTGGTACAGAGACTGTTCACCCATGAACCCAGCTAAAGGACATTCTCTCTGAAAGGTGAATCAGCAAAGAGAAGAAGAAAAGCCAAATCTTACCTGGCAGCAGGGATCCCCAGAGATGGTGCCTACTAGTTTTCATAGGTAAGCTTCTTGTATAGCTTATGCATATACCTACATGCAGGCATGGGCACTGTTCCCAGCTTAGAAGGGGGCAAAACTGCAGGGGAAAACCACCTCTTAGAATTTACCCTGTCCAGGGATGTACATCTTACACTGGAGGTAGAGAAAGGAAAAAGCATAAGGGTGGGGGAACTTGTTTTGTCTCTTGTTTTGCCTGAGCATTTGCTATTTGTCTGCCCCCCATCCTCCTCCCCCACCTCCTCACTTTTTTCTTCCTCTATCCCCTCCTATGAATTCCAGGACTCAGGGCACACCAGCAAAGCAAAGATGCCGGGTGCCCCAGATGGAAATCATAAAGAGTATCTAAATGGCTCCCAGGGGGTATTTTTCTTTGCAAGTTGCTGTAAGTTTGATGGGGCACGTGACAAAGCTTTGTGGAGAGGAAAAAGCCCAAAACCCTGATCTTCTTAATTGCTCAGTGCCAGGAAACAAAAGACTTCAAGGGGGAACGGACTAGAAAAAAAAAAAAAAAAAAAAAAAAAAAGAAAAAAAGGGGAATGTGTGGGAAAAAAATAGGCTTCGGGGTGAACAGGTAATTCACATAGATTTCCTGTCCAGTCCCTGGTTGTTCCTGGTATGCCCAGTATGCCCTGCTCCTCCAAACCTGCAGGACAAAGTCCGTGTCAACATGACATAAAACCAGAATGAAAAGATCCATTAAAGGAGAAGACAGAATTGCATGGGAGAGTCAGTCAAGC